CCCGTAAGGGGAATGGGCGACGCCACACGTACCAGGCAACATGGCTCCACGTGCCACTTTCAGCACACGTGCCATAGGTTTGCCATCACAGATATAGGCAATATGACTACCAAAATGGATTTTTAGCTTGTTGATCCACTGACTAGAAGTCTAATTTCCTGCCTTTGAATCCACTGTTTCTATAAACTATTGCAATAGATTAGAAATTACAATTCATGCAAAATCTATAAAATATTTGAGTTTATATCTTCTCTTATCACAATATGTTGAATTAAATGTCTAAATCTCTAAATACAATTTGATGTAGATATAGGTTGATTATAGAACTTAAATAAGTCTCTGGGACAAGATTAATATTCTCAAAAATAAATTTACATTGGGTAACTATGAGTTTTCTTGACAAAACATGGGATTTTTTTTCATTTTGTTTTGTTTTTACAGGTGAATCTTAATTACAATATTCCTTGAACTGACACTTTATTTTTCAATCATAATGATGAGTCTAGGTTTTGTTAGCTGTCACAGTGCTATAAAGAATGTCCACATCTTTGTTCTTATAGCATGAACATGGCTGGCAAATTTCAGCTCTAAACTTTAATCTTTGTTATTAGCCTTCCTGTAATCCATCTTGCACAAATATTCTGATATTGAAGAATGTCAATAGTGCGACCTATTACACACCAATCAACCTTTTTCTAGTTCATCACTTGTAGATTTCTGTGGCCCAAGAAGGCTACTTATGTCAAAACAGACATCTCCATAAACAACTTGCATTCAGTGGTGAATTTTATTTGGAGGGACTCTGAGTCAAAATTCAATCATTGCACATTACTTAAAAGTGTGAAGAGTACTCACTGCAGGCTTTCATTTCACAGATAATAGTAACACGACTTTTCCTATCACAATTTCCCACCAATGATATGGAGATGCATTCATAGAATCTAACTCTAGCATTGAAGAAGACATTTCTTGCAAATTTATAGAAAAGATAGAACCATTTTCTCAAAGTATTTTTTCAGATGTGTAGCCAATTCCTAAAACTGGTTACGAAATGAACATAGTAGTAGAAAACATATGGGAGTTGAAATTCAAATAACTTCCAAATTCTGAATACCTGGGGCAGAAAGAAGTGTTCAACTGCCAGGAAAGTTTCCTCAGGTTAAAAAGTATACCCAAGAATAGGTTCATGGTGATTCTGGCTGGTTAACTGATGGCAACAATTGAGACTGGGTGGGTGCTCTGTAGACCGGAGTACAAAAGCGTTCAGTTTCTAACATGTCAGTACTGGATTGTTGAACAAGCCTCAGGCCATAATTTAACTATCTAATTCTTCTAGTTTCCCCAAACTGTTACTAGACTGTTTCAGATTCCGAATACTCTTGATAAATGAGCTGCTTGGATTGATGCTTTGACTTTTTCCTTAATTTTGGATTTCATTGTCTAGTGCTGCCTTCCTTTCCTCTGCTGCTTGCAGGGCTTTTCCTAGAAAGTTTCCCAGTCCTAGAAATGTTTTACATTTTAAGGCCATGAAAGAACTTGTCATTTAATCTTCACCTTGAAACCATTTGTCTAAAATATAAGCACATTGTGTAAAGAGGTGGTATTCAGCCAGTTCTCTCTGGTTCAGGTGAAACAGTAGCGGCGGCTGCAGGAGGTTCTACCCACCCGCCCCGACATAATGCGTGAGCACTACACATGCGCAGAAGGCAGTGCACATGCGCAGATGCAGCACATCCAAGCGAAGCAAGCGCAAGCTCACTCACATTTGCAAACTGGCAGGGAAGGTAAGTCAATCCCACTGCTGATTGTGTATCATAGCCATCTTTCAAAAGTTTCACTTCTCAAGAGTTGCCTGTAGAGCAGGAGAAGCATACATGGTCCATATGCGAAGGCACACCATTTTTTTTAAGCTTTATTAGCATTTTAATAAAAGTGATGTTCACATTTTAGCACGGCATCCATACCTCCTTTTGAACTTTGGGAAATCATGCTGTGACCAGGGGGGCATTTGCCCAGGTCCGCCTGGTCCGCCAGTTACGACCCTACCTGAATCGGGAG